AAAATTGAATTACGACGAATTACACATACTCCGGATGGATCATCATGATTGCCATGAATAGAAAATACAGGCATTGACTCGTAATATCCAAATATTGTAAGTATATCATACCTGCGAACGCTCTTTTTCGATAGAAAAATAAAATCTCATGATTGTTTGCAACAAGGTTTACAAATTTCTGTCCAAATTGCCGATTGTTCAAAACTGTGAATCCTCCACTATATTCCACCTAAATAATAGTAATGTTTGAATACTCAATGTACCATATACTTTCTATAAATTTTTGAGATGAATATTTACTTTTAGTCTAATTAAAGGAAGAGGAAACATTTCTTCATCTAGATCATAATCGTAATCATTCATTTCGAGCCATTGGTTTTTGGCATCTTGAATAAGTTCTTCTACCTGTGCTTTCATTATGGAAGGAAAGAATAAACTACTATATAAAGGTATATTATATTTAGAAAAACACAATGCTATACATTACCCACCTTTGTGATTAAATAAGCACTTACTGCTGATGTTTTTGTGGGGTCAAGCCCCTCAACATCTTTCAATGATAATTCACCAATTACAAATGGGCGAACAGTGCGAAGACGAATCTTTTTCAACTCAAATTGATCACCAATTATATTCAATTTGGCCACATGTCTATTATAAGTAAGTTCGGCGTTAATATATTACAAAAAGTATACAAAACAATTAAATATTTAAGTCAATAACATACTTTGGTTCAAGCTCGCCCTCAACTAGACTGGTAGCAATAGATGATCCAGGTTGAGAAACATAAAAATTCTGCTGCTCATTGTATATCGGTTCAATTTTGCAATCATGTTCATGACCCCAAATTATCATGTTCATAAAATCAGGTAAATAGTGTTCTGGTATATAATTTTTAATTGAATGTGCGACTCTACAACGCAGCAAAAATAGAATGAAGTAAATAAATATATTTGGGCGCCATTTATTTTATTAATCAGAAATCCTTATTAAAATCACACCTGTTTTGATGCAATACCATCAGATTGAACGATTCACTTGATATTTTATTAGGTGGTAGGTTTATTTTGACAGCATCATCAGTGAACATTCGATGCAATCGTTGGTCTCTTACATTTCCCAATCCATATAGTGCCAATACTGTTTCACCTTTTCTTAGCAATATTGGTTTAACTACAATATTTTCCACTACGTTAGTTTTACCAAAATAATTTACAAGACCTGAAACTGCAAGAACATCCAAAGCACAAAGGTTTCCGTCCTTGGAAAATAATGACGTGTTTTAATATAAGATAAACCTAAAAGACAATAAAAAATTGAATTACGACGAATTACACATACTCCGGATGGATCATCATGATTGCCATGAATAGAAAATACAGGCATTGAAACTTTATAATTAGAATCTTGAAAGTTCAACTTATTAAAACCATCACTGGCAAAATAGTAAAAGAAGAATTATTTAAATAAAAATTATCGATAAAATTTCAAAAAATGATAAAATTCTTTAAGATCTTAACTTTTTATTTTCATTATCATCATTTATGATTTCCATTTGACATTTTTTATCACCCATACAATAAGTGCGAAGTATTTTCATAGTCTCGTAAAGCGTCTTTCGAGAAGGTCTATTCTCGTGGAAAAGATCCCCACCCAATAAAACCATATCGACCTTAATATCAAAAATGTGCACTTTTCTGTTGAGTTTGTAATAAGAAATTTTCTTATTTTACGTGCTGTCACATTTATCTTACGTCATTTTGTTTTGCTATTTGCAAAATTTCCCTAAAAGTATTCAAAGAATCTTGTCCACGAATCGGATCATTCTCCATATAACCCAAATGATTATCTGTAGCAATCAGAATAGAAATACATTCATTTGAATCTTCGTCGCGTATTTCTGTGAGGCTAGTGAGATCACTATTTGACGCGTTTTTTTTTTGAAGAATATATATAAAATTAGTTTAATCTCGCCCCACGTACAAAATAAAAGGGTACACATAAATAAGTATTGTCAAATAAACCAACTTTGATAGGTCCATATCAGCCAAGAAATAATATCAGTGTTTAATTCTGCGAGTTAAATTTGTTATAGTTTTTTATTATAAAATAGAAATTACTGCGCCAATGCTTTCGTGATTTAATTGGAATAGATTAGTCACACAACCAAAATTCAGCAGATCGGTTGCAAAAATCATCAAATTTTCTAATTTAAAACATTTTGATTTTTATTACGTAATTTATTCAAATTCTGACTTTGAATGCGATTTTAAATCTTTGATGCAACATAACATAGTATTCTACAAAGATTATATCTTTTTGCAAATGTAATAATAAAGATTTAAATTAGTTTTAAATTGATTTAAAATTTAATAGCAATTCTAACACTAATAGCTATCCCTTAAACCGTCCAGCGGGCAAATTTGCCCGCTAAAAAATTTTTTTTCTTGTTTATAAGAAATTGCTCCAAATTTTCTTAAGCAACACCCCTCCTTTTCCTAAGCTCGATTAAAAGCTTACCATATTTCTGATTAGAATCTAAAAACAGGTGGTCCTGCCATTATTAAGATCACGATTGTAGCTGATCTATAATATGGCATATCAGTTTGTGGCTTAGACATTCGGAAGAACAATAATTTCTGTAAATTGAGAACAGCTAATTCATTTTTGATGATTTTGTGCTTAAATGAATGCTACGGAAGTGTAGAATTTATTAAGTACAAAATCATAAAAAATGGATTAGCCACTTTTAGAATATAACAGATAATCATCGATACATACGTACGTACTAATGACATAACAAGAAAATCAATATTATAAAAGGAAATAATAGTTTTTAAGAATTATTAAGCAGTTTCGACAATTTTTTAGTTTGAATAAATGTTATACAAATTCATAACATTTATTTAAACTCTAAATTTATCGAAAATTGCTTAACTATTCTTGAAATTTTAAATATTAATATTATTCGCAAATGAATAAAAATTGTATTCCCGATAGTGCAAAATTTTATTAGTAATAAGTACTCATATTGTATAGTAAGTTTATTTTGCCCAGATACATAATTTTTAAAACTAAATTAGCTTGGGCAATTCCTGAAAGTTTAGTCACGTAAACACCCTAAAAGTAGCACAAAAAAGATGTAAATTATATCACGTGACCCGGATTTATGCTATTTTCTTGGGTCGAATTGGACATTCCATGCTGCGGCTATGAAATGTATCATATAGGGTTTTGCAGTAGAAAAGGCCTAAATGCTATATATAATATATAGAGCATTTAGACCTTTTCTACTGCAAAGACCCTATATGATCAAAACTCTCAGAAGTCACCCTGATTAATTCAAATATGGTAATATAAA